TTTTTTTTTTTTTTTTTTTTGAAAATTTTATTAGCACAAAAATTAATAGATCGAATATATTGCATACTAATAACCCCACTTCAAATTGAAGATCAATAAATATTTTATTACAAGGTATAATTATTCCACATTAACATATTTATATAGATCATCCGTTAAGTACTTGGGAATTGGGATGTCCTCTTAATTGGTACGTACAGACACGTGTATATGTGTATAATCTTGTAGCTAGCTAGATACTTAGACTTCCAATTTTCATTATTTTATTTAGAGATATTTTGGGTCCATGATGTCATTTTCTTTTGGCAAAATGTCAAATCATTCTTTAAATTTTACACAAAAAATTAATTAAGCTCTTGTATTTTTAAAAAATGCAATTAAGGTTATCAACATGCTATTTTCTTGCATCAAAGTCTAAAATCGGTTGTTAACTTTAATAGCATGTCACTAAAATTCCGAAAGGATTAAGGTGATATGCTCTGGTGACTAAAATTGGCAACTGACAAACTGTCATCGGTCACCTTTGAAGAAGACAACCAACAAGTTGCCTTCTTTGTTGGAGGGAGAAGGCGGACCAATGTGGTCGCCTTTTCCATCGGAGAAAGCGATAGACTACCTTTCGTCAGTCACTAGAATCTCCTTTGAACCTTAGTGACATACAATTACAAGTCAATAATTTATTTGAAAATAATATATATGTCGATGCGCTTAATTGTAACTATTTAAAGTTCAGTGGCTTAATTAATTTCATATGTAAAGTTTAGGGATTTATTTAATTTTTTTTTTTATTTGGATTAATGTTTTACATTATCTGCAGCAAATAATAAAATGTTTACATATGTTTTACATTACCTGGACATTGTTGAAGGCAGGATTAATGGATGAAAATTGGACAGCGAAGCCGTTGGAAGAAGCGTCAGGAGATTGGACTACCAAGTGTGGGCAGGTAGAGTTTGGACCGCTGGCTAGCGTCAAGCCGCCGCCGCCGCCTTCGGTGTCTCCGGCGGCCGGTACTATGTTATAGTCCGTTCCGGTGAGGACTTCTTCGCCGGAGATGTCCCGCACCGGGTCAGAGATAATTTGTGCTTCAATGCACAAAAGTTGTATGGAGAAGGCCACGAGGAATGAAAGCAAAATTACTTTTTCCATCTTCAGTTTAAAAAACAATAAGTTTGATGATATTTTGTATGTGTTTGGTATGTGCATTATCCTATGGCACAACCTCAACTATATATAGGATTAAGCCCTAATGTATCCAAAAATAAATAAATAAATAAATGTCTCGCGGGAAATTTAGTTCAATGGTTCAAGGGTCACCATGTAAGTCTTACTTTAGCGACATGATAAAATATTCGAAGCCCAAAAAATTGACATTGAAATTTTTTTATGCGTATAATGTACAGATAAAGGTGGAAACTGGAAATTGATTCAGCAATTCATAATTTAACTCATTTAATATTATTGGGCTGGGATTTTGGAAATTTAAGATTAATTTAGCGTTAGCTGTTAACCCCAATGCATCAAAATAAATAAATTTTTGTTTGAAGTGATGAAGTGTGAAACGAAGTGGTCCACTGCATGCATATATCGCACGGGGGTTTTAGTACTTACGTGTAGTGTAAGCAACAATAAACAGACTTAATAATTTAATAATTAATTGGAAGAATAATTTAATAATTAATAGTATAAAAACTGTTGACTATTCTACAAAATTGTTATCAACTTTTGATTTTTTTTAGTATAAACTTTTGTTTTAAATTTGAACAAATTTCATTTTTAATTTTGTATTATGACATTGACACATTTAATTATACTCTTTTATTTTTGTCACATTATAACAATCACTAAACTTTTATTTGTTTGTCACAATTAGTTCTCTTAATAAAAAAAAATTTATTCCATCATTTAATACATGATTAATATTGAATTAATTCACTCAATTAAAAGAGTTTACAAGAAGACTTGATTATTGATAAAATTATAAATTAGCTCACTTTATTAAATGACAAAATAACAAAAATTTAAATGGAGAACTAATTGTGTCAAGTAAATAAAAGTCAAAGATATAATGTAATAAAATTTAAAAAATATGACTAAATGTGATAAAGGCACAATATTTTAGTACTAAAAGTAGAATTTACTCATTTAAATTTTAAAATTTACTTTGTGGTATTGTACTAGTTGATTGGTAGCATTTGGAAAAGATTAATCAAATCATTGTTGAGGTGTTTGGAAAATTGCTTACCAGCCAAAGTATAATTATGCTTTTATAGGTCATTTTATACTTAACCAGCTAGGAGTAAACATATAATTTACCAAATATTTTTCTATAACTAGCTAATTGTGTGTGTGTGGCTAGACTCAAATGAGAACAATGTCTCCTATAAGAAGCTAATTAACTAATTGCAAACCTTTAAAAAAGGACCAAAAGTCAAATAATGGGCCATCGAACTACATGCGAAAATGTAATTGAACATAAAATAACATGTTTATCTGGTCATTCAAGAATAAATTAAAATGACCTGCAAAGGTCCTCCAGGTATTTAAAAAAAAAAAAAAAAAAAAAAAAAAAAAAAAAAAAAAAAAAAAACCACATGTAGTCTTCCGTTAGCAAAGACTTAAATTAAAGGGAACATGTCATTTTATACACATCTCCCTTTTAACCCTAAGACATATATATATGTAAATAACTAACAAATTGCAAACTTTTAGAAAAGGAACAAGGGTCAAATGTGCCATCTTTCTATTTTTTCTTTCCTCTTTGTCCTTGCAAAAATTCATTATAAAACCAAACTGATGTTGTTGCCGTTGTTTGGTAGGATGGAATTACAATTTCATTCCTACCAAACTCCATGGAATTGCAATTCCATGGTTTGATTGGATGGAATTGCAATTCCACGGATTGGAATTAAAATTTCTTCCAACCATGAAATTGCAATTTCATGATAAATTGTCATTTTATCCTTATTATTATTATTATTATTATTATTATTATTATTATATATAAGGACATTTTAGTCTTTATTCGCTTCTTCCCTTTCAATTCCCCATCATTCTATTTTTTTTCCTACCAAATAATGTATTTAAATTTCACTTTATTATTTTTTCATCAAATTATAATTCATTTTCTCTCCTAATTCCCTCCTTCCAACCAAACGTTCTATTAGAGTTTTATTTACGACATTTTTACTCGCTAACTTGTATAATAAGAAATTTTAATTTGTAATGTGATAACTATGATATCGTTAAGTTGTTTACCAAATCCAGTCAAGGATATAAGTTGCTAAAAATGTCAATGAAGTGCATCCATTCATCTCATCCAAAAAATGGAATGCAGATATAGCCATATAGGTGTCTCGATTAGTGGATGGTCAACATATATGTTTCTAAAGTCAGAATGTGAATAAAAACTAATATACAAAAACCAATATACAGTAGTTTTTTTTACAGCTGTTGTAGATGATAATCAAGTTGACCATCGCTTGTCTAATCCAGATTCAAAGAGAAATTTCCATCCTTGACTTTGAAAACGGAGCCGCCTTAAATTTTCAGGTCAGTTAATTGTCCCTCTCAAAAGAGGTGTCTACAATTTAGCGATATTAGTCATACGATGGAGGTATACAAAAAAAAAAAAAAAAAAAAAAAAAAAAAAAAAAAAAAAAAAAAAAAACGGATCCAACGGTAATTTGGTGATTTTTTTTAAAAAAAATATTTTTTATAAGAATTTTGATTCTTATTTTTTATTTTTTATTTTTGTAAAACTAATTTGAACTTTTAATAAAAAGACAGAACCAAAGCTCTTTAACAAAAACTTTGGTGACTTTAATTCAAGTGAAAGTATTTGTCTTGAAAAAAAAAAGATTTTTATTGAGATTTTGTACATGAAGTAATATGAGTTAATTTCATTTTTTTGTCCTAAATTTGTAGATGGTAGTCCAATTTAAGTCATTTTCTTTATCAGACTATTTACTTTTAGTCCTAGTATTATTGTGACATGACCATTTTTTGTCCTTTATTAACTAAACAGTTTAAATATTTTTAAATACAAAGGCATTTTGATCTTTGATTATGATTCAAAAAAATAAACATAAAAATATAGCGGTTCAACCTACTTTGCATAAAAAAGATTGAAATATTATTGTATTTAACGATATTTCAACAATTTTGTTGATGAAGGACTTAAAATGGTCATGTTACAATAATATTAGGACCAAATTAAAAATGTTTTAATAAAAAAATTAAAATTAAATTATCATATATAAATTTAAGATTAAAAATGGAATTGACCCAAGTAATATTGATTAGAGAAAACACTAGTTAGGAGTTCAATCATAAATTGAATTAATGAAAATGGTAGTATCAAAAACAAAATACGACAAAAATGTCAGTAAAACGTATGCCATTTTAATGCTTTTGGTCAATAAAATTAATATACACATTTAAATCAATACACGATACGTAATGAATTATCCGATCTGAACTTTTTTTTTTTTTTTTTTTTTTTTCCCTTTATGTCTTCAACGAATATAATGAACGAGGAGGAGGCGGCGAAGATTATCGCCGCCTTTGATATGTTCGCATCCATTTCCATGAGTGGGATAAGCGTATGCTCCACCGCCTTCAGTTTTAGAGCATATCCAATTAACCATATCCAACCTTACCATATTCTTACATCAAATATTTTCATTTTCAACTCATTATATCAAATTCTGCACTAAATTTTATTTCTTCACTAAAATAATTTGTTTTCTCATAAATTATAAATTTAAATATTTTAATATAAAATATAATTATAATACAAATATTATTTTATTCCATAACAATATAGTATAAATGATGAAATAATATTCAGAGTTCTATATAATCTGAGAAAACTTGTACAGGCTTATATAGTAAAGCTCAGCACCACAATACGTGGAGCAGCTAGAAATAATGCCGGAGACTCTAACTATAGTATAACAAACTAATGTAGTCTAACTGCTCTAATACTCCCCCTCAAGTTAGCGGGGGCAAGGAACGATGCCAAGCTTGTGACGAAGATCATTAAATCGAACAGCCGGACAGCGGCTTGGTGAAGATATATGCCAACTGGTCGTGGGTGGAGACAAAGTTAACCTTGAGGGCACCACTTGCGACTTTGTCTCGGACAAAGTGATAGTCCACTTCAACATGCTTCGTCTTGGCGTGGAACATAAGTACGTCGCACCTAGGTTGTCACACCATAACAACGGGATAGTCGAGGGTAGCAACCAAAGCTCACGGAGAAGTGATTGTATCCACGTGACTTCTGCCGCGACATCGGCTAGGGCTTTGTACTCGGCTTCTGTGGAGGAGCGAGCTACTGTGCGCTGCTTCCTCGAGACCCAGGACAGAAGATTGGGGCCTAGAAAGACCACATAACCACCTGTTGACCTCGTGTCAATGGAGCAACCAACCCAGTTCGAGTTGGACAATGTGTGAATTACTGGAGTAGCTGTGGGAGCAAGGTGGAGCCCGAGATCAAGTGAGCCTTTGACGTACCTTAGCACCCGCTTGAGTGCCGCCCAGTGACTCTGCGTCGGGGTGTGCATGAATTGACATAGCTTGTTTACAGAATATGCTAAGTCCGGTCGTGTGATCAATAAGTACATTAACGATCCAACAAGTTGGCGATACGGAGTTAGATCGTCTAGCGTATCCGATTCACCTGGGGTAAGTTGAGTGTTCAAAGCAATATGTGTTGCTAGCGGCTTGCATGACTCCATAGCCGCTTTACGAAGAAGCTCAGTCATGTATCTTTTCTGCGAAAGAACTATGGAGTCGGCCATCTCAGTGGCCTCAATGCCCAGAAAAAACCTCAGTTTTCTGAGATCACAGATATGGAACACAGTGGAAAGTTTTTTGAGCATGGCTGAGTCATTACCCATGAGCAGAATATCATCTACATACACGAGTATATAGACCCGCGCTGTTCCTGAATCATAAATGAATAAAGAGACGTTTGTTTTGGACGGACAGAACCCAATCTGGACCAAGAAGTCATGGAGTCTAGTGAACCAAGCCCGTGGGGCCTGTTTCAGGCCGTACAACAACCGTTGTAACTTACACACATAATCCAGGCAATTCGGGTTAGCGTAGCCCGGAGGCTGACGCATGTAGATTTCCTCACTGACACGCCCATTCAAGAAGGCGTTATGAACGTCGAGTTGACGCATGGTCCACCTGTTGGAAACCGCATAGGCTAACAGGAGCCTAATTGTTGTCGGTTTAACTACCGAACTGTATGTGTCAACATAGTCTTCACCTGGGATCTGATTGAACCCCTTGGCGACCAAGCGGGCTTTATAACGCTCAATGGCGCCATCAGACTTTCTTTTGATACGAAACACCCACTTGGAGCATCGGTGGTGGTCCGCTCAATGGCGTTGAATTCCATGTTCATAGCATTACACCATTGCGGTAGTCGAATTGCTTGTGAATGGCACGTGGGTTCGTCATCGTCAATAGACGTGACCAAGGCTGTTGGCCACTTATGCTGAGCATCGGTGGTGGTCCGCAGCCACATAACATGTGTGTGAACTGTGGGTCGCTGGCGTCGTCGTCTAGTTGTGGTTGTGGTGGACGTTGATGGTTGGTAAGAAGAGGACGTCGCACCTGCCATAGAAGATGAAGTAAGAAACACTCCAACATTTCGTTTCCCACTGGGAGATGGGCTCAAAGTGTTGGGCACTGCCGGAGGAACTTGTGTCTGAACTTGAGCACATGCCCAGGGTTGCGTGCTCGTCGGAGCAATAGTAGTAGTTGTTACTGCTTTTGAGAACGGGAACACAGATTCGTTGAAGACAACATGGCGAGCAATGTAGACACGACCAGATTGTATGTCCAGACACCTGTAGCCATAAAAGGAATCCGGGTATCCAAGAAATACACATGACTTGGAGCGGTAGTCCATCTTATGAGTGTTGTAAGGGCGTAAATAGGGAAAACATTCACACCCAAACACACGCAACATTGTATTGTTTGGATGTTGACGAAAAACCTGAAAGTATGGACTTGTACCATTAGACACAAGAGACGGCAGGCGGTTTATGAGGTGGACTTCTTCCTCAAAGGCATAGAACCAATATTTTTGGGGAACTTGACCATGGGCTAACAGGGCTAAACCTGTTTCGACGACGTGACGATTCCTGCACTCCACACGTCCATTTTGTTCGTGTGTATGAGGGCAGGATTTCTTGTGTAATATCCCTGAAGCAGCAAAAACCGAACTTAACTTAAGGTACTCACCACCCCTGTCCGATTGTACACATTTTATCGGACGAGAGAATTGTTTTTCCACTAATGTACGAAACCTATTGAATATGTGGTAAATATCGGATTTGAGTTGCATTGGATAAATCCACATAAACCTAGAAAAGTCATCTATGAACAGTACGAAGTATTTATGACCATCGACTGTTGGTACAAGAGAAGGTCCCCAAATATCAGAAAATGTTAAATCTAGGACTGACTGACTTGATTTTTCAATTCGTGACAATGGGAAGCGCGCAGACTTGCTTATTTGACACGGTGTACATAGATTATTTAAAGAACTAAATGATCCTACGACTGGACAAGTAAACAAAACCTGCCTTAGAACACGGGAATGTGGGTGACCGAGACGTTCATGCCAAGTCTTCGGAGACGCTTTAGCTGACAAGAATGCAACTGGATTGGAAATATTTAATGTGTACATCCCGCCCTTGCTTGGACCCCTAAGTAGAGTCTGTTGAGTGGTACGGTCCTTCACAACAAAATAGCTGGGGTGAAATTCAAAATACACATCATTATCTTGTGTAAACTTTTGGACAGATAATCGGGATGCACGTAATTCAGGAACATGTAATACGTGTTTTAGAAACAGAGACCGAGGCGTGGAATTTAAGGAAACTGAACCGGTATTTTGTATAACCAAACCTGAGTCATTTCTGACTTGTAGTGTCTCACCTCCTGAGTACTATTCCACACCAACCAGGCCATCTACGTTAGGTGTTGCATGAGTATTTGTAACACCCCGTGTTTTCCTAAAATATTTATATTAAATATAAATATTATCCAAATAGAACTATTTACTTATAATTAAATAGTTTGCTAAAAATATATACATATACCTAAATCCCTTAATTTATTGATATGGTTCATGCTGGACCATGGACCCTTGACTAAAATAAAGCCCGTTAACCTTTTGGATAAAGTAAGGAGGGCCCTCTTACCTTTTCAGATTCGTATAAGGAATCCTAAACCTCTTACCTATTCAGATTCTAACTGGGGATCCTAAATCTAATTAAAGGGGATTAAAAAGAATTTAGAACCCGTTTCACCCATCCCTACTCCCTCACTCGAAAATCCCTCTCCAAAACATAGTCAAAGAATTTCCCATCACCAGGCTTAGGGAGGATCGATTGAGGAAAGATCTTAGGAAGTTGTGAGAAGTTTAATTAAGCTAAAAAGGTAACCCATGTCTTACAAAACCTATTTTCCTTGCTATCTTTTATTTATTGGCTCCTTTGAATGATTGTTGTGATTATGCCTTGATAGAGCTTGTCTTAGGGTTTATGTGATGGTTTCTTGATAATATTGATGTTCATGCTATTCGTAAGTGTTTATATGCATGATCTCGTGTCTAAGCATGTTTAGAGCGTGTCTTTAAGGTCTATGTGATGGAGTCTTGATGTTCTTTATGCTCTTGAACGATTATGTGTTTATTCTTAAGTCTTGGCATGATTAGAGTTTGTGTTTAGGATGTAATTGTGTCGTTTCTTGGCTTATTCTTGGTGTTCAAGTCCTCGTTATTGTTGATGTGTGTTGGGATGTGTCTGGACTTGATTTTGGGTAAAGTTATTGAATTTCCGGGTTGAGAAAATAAGCCAAGAATGTTGTACCAGCGGGTAGTCGGTGGGGGGACGAACCCCCACCTGACCACCCGCCAGTACAGGCCACCGTACCAGCGGGTGGCCGGTGGGTGGACGACCACCCGCCAGTGTACCCGCTGGTACAAGGCCGTCCGCCGGCGAGCAGACGGTGGGTGGTTGTCCACCCACTATTCCGCCTGCTGGTACGGACGGGCGGTGTATAACACCCCACTTTTCTTAAACTTAATTAACAAACTAAAACTTGAAAGATAAACCAAGGCAGCGGATTAAAACAACTAAAAACGCTTAAAGAGGTGTCATCGCCACAGTCACCGCCCATGGTGACTGCATAGGCTACAAAAGGAAACTAAAACTAAACATAAAGTCTTACTAGCAACCAAACAAACTAGGGGATAAGACCCCGGTGTCCAGCACCATCAAAACAAGGTAGTCAACTACACACCCGAAAACATCTACAGAGTTTTAGACTACAAAAGCTATCTAAGCTAATCTAGTCTATCTCATACTCTCTCATGAACTGGGCCCACCTGAAAGGGGTTAAGAAACAACAAGTAGCAAACAAACACGTTAGCACGAGGCTAAGTATAACGCCACTCAATCCTGTAAAGTAACACGGTATATACTTTCGGAAGACAGTAGTTTCACATCCTTACATTAACAACTTAATCACTTAAACCATAATTTGGCATTAACTTCTAGATGCTTGCAACCTAATTAACGAATAGGCATGCTTATACAACAAACAACTCATCACAGTCTCAAAACTTGTAAACAAATCTAAAGCTTTCTCAAGTACTCAACAATCTCATGCTTTCTCATATAACCAAATAAGCAATCTCATGCTATCAAATATCTCATAGGCAATCTCATGCTATCAATTCAAATAACTTATAAGCAATCTCATGCTACTAAACATGCAATCTCATGCAAGACATATAATCATAAACAATCTCATGCTATCAACTACTAATCATGCAATCTCGTGCAAGGAATATAACTCATAAGCAATCTCATGCTATCAATTACTAATCATGCAATCTCGTGCAAGGTATATCACTCATAAGCAATCTCATGCTATCTACTGCTAATCATGCAATCTCGTGCAAGGCATATAACTCATAAGCAATCTCATGCTATCAACTACTAATCATGCAATCTCGTGCAAGGCATATAACTCATAAGCAATCTCATGCTATCAACTACTAATCATGTAATCTCGTGCAAGGCATATAACTCATAAGCAATCTCATGTTATCTACTACTAATCATGCAATCTCGTGCAAGGCATATAGTCATACAATATGATGCTATAGTATAAATATAGATAGATATACATACACACTCTTTTGTAAAAAGAATACTTTTTCTGTGGAGGTTTCTTAGAGTCGCAATGACTCGCTTTGCTCTTCTTTTCTTAGAGTCCCGATGACTCGCTTTCTTAGAGTCGCAATGACTCGATTTCTTTATACTCGTGGGCGAGGCAGGACTCACCATGATGTGAATGAACCTATTGGGCTCGGCGTCTAGCCGGCCAATCTCTCATCTCACCCACAAAACCAATCTCGTGGTTCCAAATCTCAAACTCTGTTGAATCAGGTATCGAACTATCAGTGTGCACACCCCCTGACTAGGATTCCAAGCCTGGCGGGAAGTTTCCAACCTAGTAACGTGGGAATATCGACCTCGTTACTTCACATCGGATTGCAATGTCCATTTCTTTCTCTTTTCTTCTGAAGGGACATAGTCCTAACGGCCCTCCAAAACAAGTTTTTCCTTACAATAGATACATATAGATATAACTCATGCACTCAAATCATGCAACACTTTACTTATGCAAATATGCATATAACTTCTCAACAAGTTCTCAATATGACAAGATAATGACTTTCCAAAATGGATATGAGTTTTTTGGAAAATAATACTTAGGCTCACGCTGGCCGCTTATGCACTTTAAAACATGATATGCTCAAAATGCAATTTACTGTAACATGCTTCCATTTCTATTCACTGTGGCTTCTCAATAATTCAATAAATCATGCTTGTAAGTCGTAACTTGACAAATCTTCTCAACAACACTTAGTAAGTATTTAGCATGCACTTAGAACTCAAATAATCTAAGGAAACTCATTTATTGCAATTTAATTAAGTTTCAAGATAGGCATGCTCTGCACACTTCATCATTTAGCAACTGGGCAAGATTCTTAGTAAATCATAATATACACTTTAGGCATGTTTTTCTAACTAAACTCAACAAATAAAACTCATGCTTCTCTATTTAACAATCAAATAATAACATGCTCATC